CTAATAAACTGCACCTTGTTGGTCACCAGCCGGAAACATATTCCCCGGGCAACAGCCTCTCCAAGCTCGCCCTCTCACTGATGCCACCGACCTTGCCCGCGTTGGCCTCCCTCAACGCCTTCAAGCCGTGCGCCTCGCCCTCCTCGCAGAGCAGCCTGCACCGCAGCTGGAAGGCCGGCGTCCAGTCCAGCATGTCCTCGTGGCCGTGGCCCCCGGCTCCGCAGCCGTCCACCTTGCTCAGCACGCAGACGCTGCCGGCGGCGTCGACGCCCGACCTGCCGACGTATTCCATAAACGTCCACCAGCTCGAGTAGTCCCTGCCGAAGCCCCTCCTCGCCTCGCGGTTGAGCAGATGCCACAGGAACGCCTTCCAGAACCGGTGAAACGCCTTGAACAAGGGCAGCTCGGAGCGAGGCTCAAAGAGCTCGTCCCGCGAGCGCCAGTGGTGGAAGAAGGCGTGGTACGCGTCCCCGGGGAACGCGACGTCGCGGACCACGCAGTCGACGCCCTGGGACAGCGCGGGACACATCATCTCGCCGGGGGCGCTCCTCTCCGTCTCCTCCCCCGGGGGCAGCGGTCCCATGCGCACGAGGGACAGCGACCGCAGCCGCGGCAGCGTCCTCGCGTCGAGGCTGAGCAGCGCCGACCACAGCTCCTCGGCCGACTCGCAGAAGCCGGCGTGCCGTATGCTGTCGCGGCGCAGGCCGACAAAGGGGTCGAGCTCGCCCTGCTCCGTCTGCGGCCGGCGGTCCACCGTGTTAAGCGCCCCCGCGAACGCCCAGTCGTCAAAGACGGTCAGGATGTCGGCCTCGTAGTTGATGAAGGGCACGTCGAACCTCACGCCGGCCGTCTGGTCCCCCTCGTCCGCGGACGCCACCCCCGTCTCGCAGACTAGGTGCCGCGCCGCCGGCCTGTGAAACCGCGGCAGCCAGACCGCCCGCGACTCCTGGCACGCGTGTAGCAGGGGGAACACGGCGTCCCGCCTCGGGTGGACAATGTATCTCACCCGCCAGTCCGGGTGGTTGCGCTGCTCGCACTGCCGCCGCCGGGAGCAGTTTGCGTCCCGTCCCCTCCTCCACGCGAAGCACTCGGCCCAGCATGAGCGGCACGGCACCTGGCCGATGATTCGGGGCGGTGGCTGGACGAGCTCCCAGACTGCGAGGCGGATTTCGGCGGGAAGCTTGGGGAACGGCGCGAATTCGGCCATGTACACGTATACAACATGCTCTTTTTGCTGCGTTGGGCCCGAATCAGAGAAACCTGGCCGAGTGCCAAGTGCCGGAAGGATGGAGACTAGCTACAGCCGGATCCAGGGGGGATGGGGGGATGGGGATGAAGGATTTTGATGGTGGTAGTAGGCATGAGGAGAAACTCGTGTGATGAATGCACGCGTGCTACGTGTATTGTATGTGTGTATTTGGCCCGCCAATGAATTCACCGAGATGTCGACTGCGTTTCCATCCGAACACCGACGCCGAACGGCCGAGCTGTGCTGATTCAGGCGCTGATTGATTCAAGAGCACTTGCTCCACTTTTCTAGCTGCTATTATTTCAATTCAATAAACTATTTTGTATGAATAAAAAGCTTAAAAGAAGGGTGCAACTATATAAGTTGGCATCGTCTTGTAATAAGACGTGGCTACGATCCTCCCATCAAGGTGTTGTCCGAGACTCTTGGATATAGCGAAATCTGCAAATTGGAAACTAAGAAACCAGATACGATAATAGCTTCCTCGTACCTTGTTAGACAATCGCCATAGATACATGTCAGTTTTATAGTCGACTCTAAAGTAGACTGGGATCAATGACAGGCTTGGTTCAGCGGCATGCCTTCACGCATCTTGGTTCACATAGATGTTTGTATTGTTAATAACTCACGACCCTTCAAATCCATGCCAGCCGTATTCTCGTGGCCCTCTCATCAGTTGATCCGTGTGTCAACTTGTAGCTTGAATACCAACTTCCAGTCTTCTCTCAAGGCACGGCCGCTCTTGAGAATGAAAACGCTCCTCAGTTTCTCAGTTGCAGCATCTCATCCCTCCGCAGACACTGCCACAAACCAACTGGCAACCTGATCGGTTAAGACGACGCCGATGAATCGTTGTCTCTCTGGCATTCGAGACATCTTCAACATGTTGCTCTGTGATGGGGGGAAGGACCTCTGGCTGAAGAGTCGCGGAATGAATGCCATACGCGTGCAGACATTCCATGACAATTTTTGCCTTTTCGGTAAAGTGCTTGACGGTTCTATCGTCAACCACTATATGTGCCGATGCAACAGTTTTCCGCTGATCGAGGCGCCAGACGTGAAGCTCGTGTACCGACTCAATACCAGGAATCTATCAATTGTGCCTTGTTAGATATTGCGAGGCGAATGAAGTCTACATACAACAGCGGAAGAAATACCATCTCAATGTCATGTTTGACGTCCTCCACGTCGATTCCTCCAGGGGCGATCTGCAGGAGTATGCTGCCGCTTTTTTTGGTCAAAGGAATTGCAGTCAAAAAGATCATGATGGCGATGAAGATGCCAATGGCCGGGTCGGCATAGTACCGTGCGGGACTGTCCAGCTTCCAAATAATAATTGCAGAGACGATGACTCCGACGTTATTAATCGCGTCCCCGACGACGTGGATGAAGACGCCAAATATTCCGAGGTCTCTCCCAGGCTTGGAGGGGGCGACAAAAGAATGCTTATGTTCATGGTGGCTGCTAGTCACCTGAACCATTTGTCAGTAGTGCCGTCTCATCACGGTCGGAACATGGGCCAGGTGTCCTCAGATCGTGACTTACTGAAACCTTGCGACTTTCCGCCCTGTTCTCGGGGCCGTCCACCATCATGAAAGCTTCATCGTCGAAATGAGCAGCATCATCGTGAGAATCATGGCTGTGGGAATGGCCATGCCCGTGTCCGTGATCATGGTCGTCGTGTTCTGTTTCCTTAGTCTCTCCATCTGCCTACCCGTAGCACAAGTGACACTCACCATGAAGAAATGACATCACTAGCAGGTTGAGCCCGAGCCCAACACATCCCACTACCAGCACCACTTTCGGCTCATCAATATCTAGGCATCGTTAGGAAGACGTGTATCGCAACTTGGGTGAGCGAAGCATACGGAGAGTGTGAGTAAACCTCTCGATCGCTTGGACAAGAATACTGACGCCGAGAGCGACAAGGAAGACGCCATTAAAGAATGCGCCGAGAAGAGTTGCTCTCTGCCATCCGAATGTAAATTCTTTGGGTGGTGGTTGAGATCCTTCGGATACCTGTTTCTCCGTCAGCATATATTCCATTCATTCTTCATGAAACAGAGAGGAAACAAACCGTGAGGGCTACAAAGGCCACCACAAAGCCAACTAGATCACTGAGCTATTCATGTGCATTAGTTATAGATAATGGACCTTCGGGTCTGCTCTCGGAAGATTCCCTACGTAGTGGAAAGCATCGGCGATAAGAGCCAGAGAGTGAGTATAACATCCGGCTAGAGATGTGAGAGGGTTAACGACAAAAGCTCGGTCGCAGCACACCGCCATCCCCTGGTACTGTACTCACCAATCAACTCTGCGATAAAGAATGCCGCAGAAATGGCAATAGTAGCCATCAGACGCTGCTTTCGTGTAATGGTGAATGCAGCCATGGCGGACCAATGCACACTTTGCCGGGGTGTTAGATCAAGGAAGAGAGGCGAAAGGAAAGAAAGAGTCATGACGGGTTATACGGGAGTTATTTTATTGCAACGAGTGACAAACGGAGCCAACAGCTGCTGCCAGCTGCGCAAACACCTCAACTTGCGCCATCTTCAGGCATTGATAGTCGGTGGCCATGTTCATCAAGCTTGCCAGGGACATTCCAAGGCTGTACACTAGCAACTTAGTGCTTCCAGGGCCAGTGCAAGGTAGATTGGAATATTGGCAAAGGGGAAAAAAAACTAACTTGCAACAGGAAGTCGATAAACATAGACCAGGAAAGCTGGTTTGAAGTTTGTTGGTTATAGTAACGTCGGGGTAGCATCGAGGGATCTACCGTTGCAATCAAATCGCATAAAGTTACGGCGGCACATCTACCAGGAAGCTGCCTGTTCTGGCAGACTTGAGACATGTTTCGACAACAAACTTTCCTAGGGGTGCCTCATGTTTTATATCTCCCGAGAAATCACGCATATACCCCAATTGTGGTTGTGCCCCGGATGGTCAGATGAACCATCAACGACCAGGGCAGGCGGCAGGTGCTGATACTCGTGTGTTCATGGTTGTGGCAATACAATTGAGCAATCAATGACGAAGGTAGTTGCACGAGAGCATCGCTTGGGTAACACCTGTGGCATGCGGATGGCCTTTGTACCAGCGACATCATCGTGGGACTCGTGGGCCACGGTAGTGTGAATCATGATGGATAATACATCGCTGCCAGGTAGAAGCGTCATCGTCGATACTCATAGTCTCTGGGAGAGACACTTGCCTAGTGCCAAGTGTACAATTATCAATACCAATATCCCAGTATCTTGTAGCATGTAGCTTGAGATGCCCTACATTTGTATGTGCATGTGTGTATGACTATGCAGTAGTGCCTTGGCCCGTTGTTCACTACATCGCCCCATACCTACCTACCTAGGTTGGTAGGCAGGCGGTGCCTCGTATAACCGATGAGTCTCGACAACACGTCGACATTTTCTTCTCTTTCCCAAGGACTGCCAAAATCAAGTTCCAGCTAACGACACAATGAATAAAAGGTCTGGAGCTGGAGTGTGGGGTAATCAAGTTCCAAATCGTGAGAATGGGAGGAGAGCGAAGCGAGGCGAGGCAGGAGGGAGCTCTGTGGTCGCTGAAATCCGGCAGGCGGTGTGGGGCGCATCATGCCTGGAGCTTGATTCTGCCACAGCTAACCACTCTTCACCAGACGTCACGACGCGATCAGACGACGGCATCCGCATCCATTCTGCCAGGCCTAGTCAACCTTAGCAGATGACGTCTATCCTGAGATGAGACGCAAACCGCCCCAATGTCTCGATATGCTGGGCCCATGCCGCCAGTCCCGCGCAGAGGGCCACGATGGTCCCACATTCATCACCCCGGCACGGTGAGCTTCGATCTTGGTTCAACAGAGTCGCCAAGTTCTCCCGGCAGCACATCGACTCACTCCACTATCCGGGAAGACAAGAGACGCAAGACTGAGCGCCACTGCACTATTTCCGTGAATGATGGCTACTCCAAAGACGAGGTCCTGCTCAACTTGGACCACCTTGGCGGGGACATCAAGCCCGGCGCCCTCATGGCCCTCATACCGTTAAAAGGTGACTCGAAGAACGCTACATGTGGTTATGGAAGCGTCAGTAAGCAGCCCCATGAACACCTCGATAGTGCCAGGGCAGCTTCGGGCACCCACAGCGACCATGATCACGGTGCCGGACATACGTACATATTCGTCGCCAAGGACATGTCCAAGGAGATGAAGGCTCGACACCCAGACACGGAGGTGCATGTTGCCAAACATATTGCGGATGCTTTTTTTATGAAGAAGGGCTGCCACGTATTGCTGCGACCTGTACGTCAAATGACATTGCCTCCATCCATCTCTCGCGTTTTCCTATTGCTAACACGCTCCAACCAGGTCAACCAGCATCACCCTGCTGTCGAAGCCACACATGTTGAAATGTCCTTCAAAGACCAGTATTTGTCAAGAGCCGACATGTGGAGGCTGGCTGCTGGAGAACTAACGCAGCGGACTGTGTATAAGGGCCAGTCTCTATTCTTCATGGGTACAATCAAAGCTCAGGTCACTGCAGTCTATGTCAACGGCCACACCGTCCATTCTGCTTTCTTCGGAAAGGACACCAGACCCATTTTCCGCAGCGAGTCTGCCAAATATGTCCTCTTTATTCAAATGGCGCGAGAGATGTGGGACTTTGATTCTGAGGCCTCCGGCGAAATCATGTTCAACAAGGTTGTCAATGGATTCTTGCCTGCCCTCTTCAAACGCTGGGCGGTTCTCAAGGTGAAGCATCTTGTCAGCATAGTGCTATTCGCCCGTGTCGAGTATGATACCGGCATAAGTGCGGATCTCGCAACTAGCTCCCTACTCGACGATTACTACACCGGAATGCAACCGTACGGAAACCGACGCCCGTATAAGGACTTTTATCGTGTCGTCGTCAGCGAGATGGCAAGCGGAGAGTGGACGACCATTCTTTACCAACTCAAGCGGGAATTCAACTTCTTTCGCCGAGACATCACCTTGCATCATCAAAAGGTCAGGGCATTTGGGCACAGACCTTCCGACGAGGACGGAGCAAAGGACGGTATATCCAGTCCCGCCAAAGCAGAATCCTCTTTATCAATACACGGCAACGTGCTAGAGGCGATCAATATGGCGGCTTCTCAGTTCTCACATGACTACATTGATCGAGATCTTACCAGGACAGGAATTTCCATCGCCGTGATTACTCCTGGACCTGGTGTGTTCGAAGTTGACTATGAAACCTTGCGAAGAACTACTGAATCTCTAGTTGGAAGCGGCATTGGTATTGATTTGATTTGCATGGCCAGCATGCCGCTGCATTCTGTACCACTTTTCAAGTACCGAAACCCTCAATTCTCCGAGGATGCGCATCACAGCCAAGGACATGCACTCTCTAGGTCATTTCATAGTCGTGATAGCACACCCAGCCACCCCACGCCTGTCATCGGAAGCTATCAATCCATGTCCGGTTCATTCTCTCCTACCAAAGCGTATAGTTTGGCCGGACGAATCGAGACCCTCGCCCTTACTGGAGCTAATGAAGAGTTTTGTTACGCGCTTCCCCAGTGGCTACACGTCTCGTTTTGGACCGGTGCAGCGGAAGAGTCATTGTCCTATGCCGGTATCGCGCTGACCGTATCCAACAAAGTTGAGCAAGAAGACAAGGACTGGTTCAAGGTGCGGTGTCGGATGTACGACTTGCAGATGCGAAGCGTCCTGGACGCAAATGAGATCGAGACTGCTCCATTGCAATCCGACTCTAGTTATCCAAGTCATCTCGTCCAAGCAAGTGCAATAGCGAAGAAGCGGCCAGATCGGCCAGGAGACACTATATACATCCCTAACAAGCAAGCCCCCGAAACGCTGTTCGACCATGTATATGGCTTTCAAAAATTTGTCCCTGAAAAGCTGGTCCGACCAGGGGAAAAGTCTATCTGCAAGCACCTGCAAGAATATGATGACGCAAAAGCGAGACTCCCCAGGGCTCGTCCTTACCACCAACACCAACCATCTAGAAATAAAACAGAGTTTGAAGATGTCGCCCGGAGACAATTAAACGACGATACATCTGCGCTGGGGACGTCTCTCCCGGAACGGAGAGCCTCAACTTACCTACAACCCTCTCACATGCAAGCCTCCAGAAAGTTCTCTTTGACCACAACAGAGGTAGAGAAGCCGGTCTTGTCTGCGCCTAAACCATCTCCAGAGCCGCCACCGTCGACTGCAATATTCAAGAAAGCCCCGTCCATAAAACAGCCCAAATTTATGCGGCAGATTAGCCTTGGGCAACGTGGATTCGGAATAGCCGCCCCAAAGGTAGCAGCCGCTGAACTCAAAATAGAGACAGTTGGAGCTGCTGCCGTCTCATCGAATTTGCGTCCGCCCTCCAGCGCGCATTCATTTTCTGATCTCAGGCCGTCGACGCCGCAAACAATTACCAGCCGTTCATCCTCTGCCTCGGCCCAGAGGCAAAAGTACGAGACGGCGGACAGCACTGCTGATGGTGTGCCTTCAACACCCAGTATCCCGATTTCCAGAGATAGTTTCAACAGGCCGGGCACGGCCGTCAGTCAAGTCAAATCGCCGTCAGTTTTACCAGTTGCTGCAAGCGCACGCCGTGAGCGACGCCCCGAAGACAGCGACGTCCGCTTTTCCAATGCGCTACGGGCAGAAGACGCACAAAAGGTATATACCAGTAAACTCCGGGCCGGCGTTGTACCAGAGTTGCCCTCAACACTCTCACCTACCACAGCCATCACGCCTTGGCTGACGCTGCTCAATCCTTCGAACCCCGAGCGCCACAAAATTGACGACACCATTCTATATAGTCGGTGGCAGCATGTATTTCCACGGACATCTGACATGAAGGTTCAAAAATGGAAGACGTTGTGTTGTCCTGCGGCGGTTCCTCTGACAACTGAATATTTCCCGGCCAAGGCTCAATTTGACGCAGAATACCAGAGGCACCCCTACAATATTGATCAGAACTTGGATGATGACGTGGTCGATGAGCCCAAATCACGAAAGGATTTTATCAAGGAACTCATTAGCATGCGATTCTCTCAGGGATTTCAGGTCATTGTTGGACCGTCAGTTGCACGGGCATTCGGGCAAAAAGTCATCAAAGTTGCAGATGTCTTCGCTCGCGATCAGCCGTTGGATGACGGAACAAGTGTATTCATGTCTGTTGGAAACACGATCCACCAATTGTCCTGTGTCAACGGTAGTGAAGTTGAAGTAAACATTTATTTGCGGAAGCCTACCGACGTCACTGCTGAGTCCCAAAGATATCCATCAGCCTACAGGCCAGCAATTCGCACCATATTCGACACTGAATATGAAACTCGTTCCTTTGACATTCTGACACCAAAGATGGATAGAAATTGGAATACAATCGACTCATATTTGGCTGGACACTATGACCAAATGATGGATAGCTTAAGATTTTGGCGAGCAAGATTCGTGCTCATCCCCCTCGGTCCAAAGCACCCCTTGATTCAACGCGTCCAAACTAGTGATAACCCAGAAGAGTTGCGCATTGAGGGAATAAAACGATTATGTCAGATTTGGCAAAAGCATCGATATATGGCACCCTCTGATCGACGATTTCAGCCAACCGCAAAGCGGCGCAGCCCCTTGGATATTGTGTACAAGACTGAAGACCCGTCCGTGGTGATTGCGGCAGAGGTCGAGACGCTTCCCATTTTGGAGAACTTGGAGGGTCCGCATCGCAAGGGCGGACTTGTGACAAGAAAGGAGCGGTTCCAAAAGGGCAACTTGAATTTGGCGACATTGGCGGAAGCAATGCAACAGCCAGTCGAAAATGGCGGAGTGCCACTGAGGAACCGGCGATGGCATCTCAGGCTTCACAATGCCGCATTTATCGGATCTGACATGACTACTTGGATCCTGGACAATTTTGAGGACTTGGATAGTCGTGAGGAGGCCGAAGAACTTGGTAACGCTCTCATGGTACCTAATGAACCAAAGCACAAGGACAAGGACAAGAGCAAAGATAAAGAGAAGGACAAGGAAAAGGAGCATGCAGAGCCCAAGAGCGAGAAGGATCGCGGCTTGTTCGTCCATGTCGAGCGGCGCCACAACTTTCGAGACGGCAATTACTTTTATCAGATTGCGCCGGAATTCGCAAAGCCTCAACCGGGGTGGTTCAGCAGCAGACGTCGGGATGTCACCTCTCCTGCTGCGCCAGGATCAGACGGCGGCAGCATGGACTCCCCGCGGTCCAATATGCCACGGCCCCTGGTGCCGAATGACCCGAAGTCCCCAGCGTCGTTGGGACCTGCCATCGGATCCAGCCAGTTGCTCAAGAATAGGCCCAAGGTTGTGCTCAGCAAGATGATCAAGTACGATATCGACCCTCGTAAGAGGTCATACCGCCCAGAGCGCATAGACCTGCACTACGATCGCCTCCATAATCCAGACAACTGCTACCATATACGAATTGGCTGGATGAACACCACGTCCAAACTCGTCGAAGATACGATAGAAAGCTGGGAGCGTGAAGCCAGCCAGTACGGCCTCCGTCTCGTCGAGGTCCCCATCAATGAGGCCTGTCGCATTACGGAAACCAACCCTTTCCGTAAGCCGTACCGCATCAGACTCGCCATCCGGCCACCGCTCGAACGCCCGGAAACATACTACGACCCCAACTCCCTCGACCTGCAAGCCGGCCCCAGCAAGAACTTCTACCAGACCGTCATCCTGAAAAACTTCGACTTCGTCCTCGACATGGAGGCCGCATCCAACTTCCCCTCAGACGTAGACGTCCGTTACTCCTGGGGCAAACCAGACTTTAGCTACACGCAATACATCCACCGCTCAGGCGCGGTGCTCGCCCAAATCACTGACGAGGGCGACTTCCTCGTCCTCGCAAACAGACTCTACAACAAGCGCACCAGCATGGCTCGTGACAAAGAACTCCGCAGCCAAGTTCACTCCGAGCAGCAGCAGCAACAACAACAGCAGCAGCAGCAGCAGCAGCCACAGCCTCTTCCCCCTCTAAACACCAACACGCGCGCCATGGCCCAAATCGCCCCCTACGTATCCGGCCACCCAACCACAAACTTGCCCGAGTCCGCAGCACCCCTCGCATCGCCCCAAGTGCGCCCAACATTCTACCACTTCTCGCCGGCGTCCCGCCCCATCGACGCATCTATATACGGATCCAAAATCTCCTACCCGGCAGGACGGTCTGAGCCCGAGGTTCTTAAGACGGAACTCGAGGCTTTTTGTCTCAACGAAGTAGCCCTCACGGCCTTTTACAAAGATATCCTTGACAAGGGCCAGCGTCCCCACGGCACGCCCGCTTCAACGGCTACAACGCAGTCTATTGCGGGGCTAGAACCGGTGCCAGAGGCAAGTATACCCTCTTTAGGACTGGGGCCAGGGATTCTGGGAGGAGACGGTGCTGGAGGAGTGGGAAACGGACATTCTGCTGCGATGGCGAGCATGCGGATGAGCAGTCCTATGGCGTTTTTGAGGAGGGGGAGTGTACAGTATGATGGGATGGGCTTGGGGTCCAAAGGAAAGTAATGACCCGCTCTATAACAGTAATTAGTATATTTATGTGTTGGAGATACATATTCTATTCGTCATGTATGATTGATTATATTTTTCGGGTCTCCACATTGCCTGCTTATATCCTGGGCCATCTTCATCTCCACAATCAAGAGGGTTTGTACTCGATAAATAAGTCAGAACCAAAGGGCATCTTTTTCTTCCCCGTTCTACTATCCTAAACTAAAACAAATGAAACATGACATAAAAACAACATATTCTCGCAAACGCGAGCGGCCAGATTGGTATCAGTCCCCAAGCAACTGCCTTCCCTTCAAAGTATAATAATACATGGTCTACCAACGGCCGATTCGCCGAGGCATAAATGACAGAGATGTTAAGTACCATAAAAAAAGCATGACATAAGAAACGCTCTTCTAACAAGAGACAGCATATGAGACAAGAAGCCGCTGAGGTTAACTGAGTCATCAAATTTGTGTAGTAGCTTTCTTAATCAAGACCATGAAAGGCAAATATGCAGCAACAGGTTTCGTAAACCTTGAGAAAATCCAAACTTCGTATGCGAAAAAAATTCAAAAGCCATATGCAAGGCTGTAAGACAGATGATTAATGTGTGGTGCCAGTGCCATTGGCTTGCTCGAGGCTAGTGTTGGGATACCCTGTTCAGTATCGTTAGCACCGTGGTACGTGTGATTGTATTGCGGGACGGCAAACACTTACAGAAGGAGCAAACAGCAATAATGCCCCAGAGGCAGATGAGGAGAAACCCTTCTAGCCAATGACTCTTGCCATCACCAATCAGGTAGTTGGTCAACAAAACGGCAACAAACATGACCGCAACCTGGAAAATATCAAAGCTCAGGTCCATGTACTCTTTATCCATTCCCCAGCCAATAACAACAAGCAGTGGAATCAAGAACAGAGCAACCTGCATGCTAGAGCCTACAGCAACACCAATAGCAAGGTCCATCTTATCCTTTATGGCGACAGTGACAGCTGTTGCGTGTTCGGCAGCATTCCCAACAATGGGAAGCAAGATTAAGCCGACAAACTCTTGAGTCAGGCCACCACTTTTAGTAATCGAATCGATAGAGCCAACCATGGACTCAGCACAGAAGGCAATAATGACCGTAGAAATAGTAAGGGTGGCAATGGCAACTGCCAAGCTCAACTGGGGGTCGTCATCTTCATCCTCCTCCTCATCCAAGCTTTTGGGGTTCCTGAGCATCTTCGATAATCGCTGGTTCTCCTCCTGGTCTGGTATCGCATGACTGATCATGGAGCTGGGCATGGCTAAACCTTGCTTGATGCCCTTGGGGCCGCCGCTGCGTGACCAGGGCTTTGCGGGAACCTTTTGGCTCTGCTCATTGAAGACTTCGTGATGTGTGTGGAGTTGAAAGAAGAGGTAGGCGATATAGACAATAAGAAGTATGACGGAGGTACCGCGGGAGAGCTTGGCAATCTCTCTTTGTGAAATATCTGCCGAGGCCGCAACGTTGAATACTGATGGGACAATGACAGATGCCGCAGCAAGGGCCAGAAGAGAAGCAGAAGTTTGAGCAACGGTGTGGTTAAAGTGTTGCTCTTGTCGTCGCAGACCGCCGAAAAAGAAGCAGAACCCCATGACAAGCAGTAAATTGGAAAGAATGGATCCAATTAAGGAGGTCTGAACGATGGCGATCTGATCGTCCTTCAGTGCGATGACGGCAACGATCAGTTCAACGGCATTTCCAAAGGTAGCATTGATGAGACCACCAAGAGTTTCACCAGTTCGTAAAGCGACCTCTTCTGTAGCGAAACCGAGTATAGCGGCCAGTGGAATAATAGCCAGGAAGTTGATGACGAAAACGGCTATGCGATTGACCGAGTGAACGTAATTCAAGGCAATGCCGACGGGAGCAGCGAGCAAGAGAATGTTGATCCATGAGCTCAAAAAGGTGCGCTGCAGTTGATTTGCCACAGTAAAAGGCTCCTTCGGCTTAAGATGCCAGTTGATTAAACCCGACTTGACCTTCTTCTTCATCTTTCCATTATCGTCTGCTGTTGGTTGAGCCACGGAAGGGTCGCCTTCCAGATTTGCGGCATCGTCTTCGGGCCTTCGGTTTCGCAGGCCCCCAGATTTATCATGCCCCAAAAATTGATTGAGGGCCACCTTCTCTTCTCCATTATGGACACTCCTTGTCCTCGTCGCTTCGTCGCTCTCCTTACCGGAGCTGGTGATGGTATCGGCGTTGGACGGATCCCTCGGGATGCCACCACTGCTGGGGTTTGGTGCAGTGGGAGCATGTGCCAACCTTCCACCGTAATCTCGTCCGTCTTGACCAGTCTGCGCTTCCAGTTCGGGTCCTCCCCACGTTTCTCGACGGCGCTGACGATTAGCAGGAGTGTCCCAAAGGTGCCGAAAAGGATTCCAATGGTCGACGCTTGAGCGATTGACAATGTGCGCCTCACGTTTGTTCCTGAAGTGATTGACTACCATGGCGAACCAGCCAGAAAAGAATATTAGCTTTGATCAACAACCAAGTGTGGCAAGTGGCTTGCCGCAGAGCGCGGCGACGTAATAATGTAAGAACAGTGGACTGAGGGCTGTTGTGATTGATAAGATTGTTTGATGAGGAAGCATAATACGGCTCGCGCCGTTCAAAACCAGCCAAGAAGCCAAGCAAGATCCTGAACCCTACGCCTGCCCGCTCCTCCTTGCCTAGTCTTTACGATGGCAGTCCAAGGTGGAGTGGGCAAGCGGATTGAAGAGAGAGCCAAGCGCATTTTGTAAGTATGCTACTTGGGTCGCAGTCCAAGGGGGCAGTGCAAGCGGTTGTCTGCATGAGAACCTGCCTGCAGAGCAAATCGGCATTTTTATATCCGAGAATATTATAAATATGGGCTAGCCATCAGCGCCAGCCACTCTGGACGCGACAGCTTTGCCCGGCAGGTGTACACTTTGCAGGATCGAGTTTGCGCCGTGATAGTCCTCGCAGCGAAATGGTTATGTAGCGACGCAGAGGAGGAGGGGGGGCCGGCTTGGTTGGAACTTGGAGGAGCATGTAATCAAACGGGAAGACTTACAGGAAGACATTGTGGTGGGTAGTCGAAGCCGCCGATGCGACAAATCAGTGTAAGCAGATCAAAGTTGCCAAAAAGACAGAGAAATGCCCCAAAACGCGTCTGCCAAGAAAGGCGTTGCAGTAAACGGCGAGCCTTTTGTCTCGATCGACGCAAAGGGCCGGAAGGGAGTTGACAAAAACCTGCGGCTTCCAAGCTACCAAGAGATCTGGGGATAACCTTGGCGTGCCTGTGGTGCGTTTCCCCTTATTAATATCCACATGCACAATCCACAATCAAGGTTTAAGTGTCGTGGTGACTGGCGGCCTCAACCAAGGCGCTAGCTAGCTAGTCGATAGCCCGAGAGCAGAATGATGTTGTGGCCGGAAGGAAACCGCGAGTGAATAATAAGTGGTGATGTCGGGGGGGGTCAAATCGCGGTCGAGTGTTCCACGCTTGTCACGGTGATTGTTCGCCTTGACCTCAGCAGCAAATGCCACCAGACTCTGTCGCTTCGTGTGCTGTCTGACTCTTCCCAGCTCTGTTTGATTCTGTGCTGGCTTGTGGAAGCGTCAATGAATTTCTTAAGTAACAGCCGAGGGTCAAAATTGAATGTATGCCGGGCCGGGTTCCAGATTCACACAGTCTCGAATACTGACTGACACTCTGATGTTTGCTGGGCAATCGACCAGGTGATGGATACGCCCAATCGGGCAACTGATGCGGATGGCAAGGCCGTGTTGAAGCTTTTCGCGTTGGTTGCGTTTGCTGACGTCGGCCACGTGTTGGGTCTCACCGTAGGTTGCAACGACTGGGCACCGAGAAGACCAGATGATGCCGGTGCGATCTTGTTCGAATGTGGGCTTTAGGCGTCGATGGTGAGGGAGGGGGGAATCAACACAGGGTGAGGAGCAAAAGGTGCTCGTCTTTATACGTAAAAATTCATTCTCGAGCCTTTCTCGTCGTCGGATGGCAAAATGCATTGGCGGGCATTGCACACAGCCAACAGAGAGAGGGAAGGAGCGAACAAAGCGAGCACTTTCAAGTTGTAGGCAGTCACGGCAGTCACGGCAGTCACAGACGAGTACCAATACAGAACAAAGAAGAGACACCCATCTACAGTTCCATTGCGGCCATGCGGCCATTTGCAGTGCCATCGCAGACACGGTCGGTCTACGGAGTACCCAGGCATGCGAGGTGTTGTGCACGTGTTGTGCGCGTATTGTGCAGTTGTGCGTCACGCAACAAAACGGCATGGGCCATGGCTGTGCATGTTATCGAGCCGGATTTCAGTACAGTCTGAAACTCAAATGGCGCGGCGCCAGGGCAGAGAGAGGCTCCTGCTGGCGCCCAGATGCACCGCCCAAGATCAATTGATCTCAACAGTCACAGCGCAAGCACCAAAACTAAGGTGTGGCACCGCGCAGGAAGCATCACCAGGTCCAGCCAGCCGGGCACCATCGTCTTTGCTGCCTGCTCATGCTCACAGGCATCGCCTCGCAAATCTCGCAGTTGCCCGATTGATCCGTCTGTGTTCGTTCCATCCACCTGCTTCGCAGCAGTATATTCATAGTAAAGTACTTAACGTAGTGACTACTCCGTAGTAGTAGTACAAGCACTCTCGGTGCCAAGGAACAAGGAACGCCAGTCTCATGTCTGCTTGAGATCTTCGGCTGCATTTACCGGCTGGGCACCCGTTCGCCAAGATCCGTGGCGGCCTGGGCCCTTGGACCCTTGTACCCTTGCCCTTGACGGCTCTTGGTGGTCGCGGCGGGCCCCTCGTGACGCAAACATGCATTGCATGTACAGTACATTGTAGTAGTACTGCAGCCAGCATCTCTGCCACCTCGCGACACAAGCTGGGCGTGCCTATGTATGCACTTTGACATGTTCCAGCGTCTGGTGCGCACCGTGCGCCTCAATGCTGCTGCACATAAGACCACCAAGCCGACGTCAGCACTGTCGGCGCACACTGGGCAAACACATGTAACTTCATTATTTCCATGCCTTCAATTCACTGCATGTCGACACTGCCCTGACCAAGTCTCGTCGTCTCTGCAACATGCCCGAGAATAAGCTTTCAGTTGTCTTATGTATATGTAATTTTACAGCCAGCTCCGTGTCCTCCTGTATGGGAGCAAGATGCTCAGGTATCATAGATGTAGACACACAAAACAGAAATGGAAAAACAAAAGTCAAAACGCCCCAGTCTCGCATCATCGCCATGTTGCACCGAGTCGCCCAGCTACCGTCGTATCATATATGGGATAACGTACCAATATAATTTCAATAACAACTCATCACGCCGTTCTTCATAGCATGCCGCTCGCCAGTTAGTAAATATTCCTGCCACTCGTCGGCTAGATCCAGTCTCCGTCAAAGTCTCCGTCGTCGCTCTGTTCCACGCTTTGCTTGCGCGGTCGGCCTCTTTTGCGTGTCTGCGACCCCGAACGAGCTCTCTTCTTACGTCCGCCTGGGGTTCCCGCCGCCTTTCTCTTGCGGCCCCTGTCACCTCCGTCATCATCGTCCTCGCCTTCGCTTGGGGTGCTTGGCCCGCCGCCCATACCCATCTCGTCATCTTCCTCAGCCACCTTGAACTCCTTGTCGACATTCATCAACTCCACGAAAGCCTTGCACTTTTGTACCATGCTCTCCTGGCTGGAAAGCCCATTCATGTGAGATACGATTTCGTCCCACACTCGTTCGCCGTGAACGCCTTGCACCTTTAGGGGTGTTTTATTCAGATCCTTTGCTAGAGCCTTCGCACGGTTGTCATGTCGATTCGTGCCCATGCCAAAGAGTCTGCGTAAGTGAGTTCGTACCTCCCAGAGGGAGAGTAGGATAATCGATCCAGACGTCAGTTGTCGGAGGCGCTGCGGTTCTACCGAGAGGGTTGGCACCGGGACGGCGGGAGGCGGTACATCGGGCTGAGTTCCGCCAACTGGCACACCAACTGGCACATCTCCCTCCAACAGAGTTTTTGTCTGCTCTTCTTCCTGATCCACATCCATGCGCACATTGAATACTTCGGATTCAATCGCTTGGGCCACACTGGCACCAGTGCTCGCAACCATCTTCTCAATCATGTTGACCGTAGTCTGAAGTTCTCCAATCGAGTGGTACTCAAAGAACGCAAGGTTTTCGGCAATAAAACGTGCAAAGTCTACCTGATATGGCATTTCAGCCTTGACGTTCAGCTTCCCAAGTTCAAAGTCCGCTTGACCAACGAATTTCTCCAAAAATCGTTGGCGATTTTTCATCTTGCTGATTTTCAAAACTTCCATGAGTAGATGAAGCTTCGACTGGAACGGCTCCATAGTTGCTCCATGCGAGTCCTTTACAATATCTCGTTGATAATTGTACGCAGACTGAACCGCTTTAACGTACTCTCTCTCTAGGACAGTCTCATGTTTTTCGTGCAAGGATCGATGTTCCAAATAGGCCAGCTCTGCAATCTTCCTATTCGCAGAGGTTTCCAACGTGATCAAAGTCACGCCAGTCTCCTTTGGGTGAGTCAGCCCTTGACGATTGATGCTGCCCAGGACTTCCATGGCCAAGAATGCATGTTCGTCTTGGCTTGACAAGGCAATCCGAGTAATCTCTTTGAGGAAACGCTGTGTAGCCCCACTGGCAACATCATCAAAATTGGTTCCCCCCATGACTGTAAGCTCCTTGTTCTTCTCCTTCGGAGCTTCAGCAGCTGCTTCCGATCGTCTTTCTTCTGTCACGAGAAATTCTTTGAAGGATCTTAGAATCATTGTCTCAAGAATAGGTATCTTATCCTGGAACACCTGTTGGAATGCCGTGTACACCTTAACGAGATCATAATTACGAGGCCAAGATTGGCAGACAAGGCCAATGGCTTCAATAGATGCTTTTCGTGCGTCGAGTGGTTGTTGAGGCGATGAGAATGGTGAGAGAATGTCGACAATAAGCTTCGGCACTGAGTCCCCTTTCCAGCCAGGGAACTTCTCTCGAAAGATGCGAGCTTGCTTGTCGAGATCGCAATGTTTTCCAACGCTGCCTACGATGATCGAATAGGCAGCGACAAGATTAAGACGCTTGGCGTCTAACGGTACCTTGCTCAGCTTTTGTATTCCCACCAAGCTCGACGCAACGAGATTGCCTAACGGTGCAAAGTCTTTGAGCAATTCGCATACAGTATGAGCACACGCAATCAGGTCGTCCAAGGCTCCGCGAGATGAGATTTTACCAATACCTTTGAGTAGCTGCAATCGTACGTCGGCCAAAAACTCGGTATGCACATTGGGTAGTTGTGGTAGCACTCGTTTGTAAATTACTGTGACCGCTCGAAAGGCAGCTAGTTCATCGGCACCTGTAAAGCTGGCGAGTTGCGTCTTGAGCAGCTTAATTTGCTCAAAGTTGAAAAGGTTTGGGTCAGCCTTGGCAAAAATGGTAAGTACTTGCAAAGCGTCGCGACCAGATGGAACGGTTGGATCTTCCGACTCAGGGTTGTCAATCAAACCAAACATGATTCCGACCAGCCTCGAGCAGACTCCAAATGGTCCATCCAGAGACTTGCTGCCGGGCTTGAGAATAGTCTGTAACACCTTGTCCAGAATTTCGGTGACAGTTCCCCCCTTCACAGTTTGGATAACAAGTGACACATGTTCTGCAAGTGACGTTTCGAAGCTTGCAGTGTTCTCGTTGGTATAAAAAGGCGCAAACCAAACTTCTTCAATCATCTGCCGAGCAAGGTCCCGCACACCTTCATCAGGATCCTGAATGCGGCGGAGCAGACCATTGGCAATGGCGCTGCGCAGGTTTTTGCCCCGATTCCGCAAGTAAATATCACGGGCCAGCTTCATTGCTCGCTTTCGCACACCCACGCCAGCATCCTGGAACCGATCGATAATCTTGGGTGTAAGCGACGCTTCTAAGACTGGACGCATGCTAATGCAGCTACCCAATAATCCCAAAGCCGAATCTCTGACTTGAGTTGAAGAGTCACTGGCACAATCCAGAATAAGCTGAATAACAGTCGAGTCGCCATCCAGGATCGAGGGATCCGTTTCAAGCACCTGGTTGACGCTCTTCAAGCTCTTGCTGCGGACTGTGGCTTGGTCACTTGCCATGGAGCCCAACAGAATATTCAGAATCTTGCCGAAAGACTCACAGAAAGGTGATCGCAACAAAATGACCGAAAATGCAAATCTCGCTTGGCTAGTCGTGACTGCTTTGAATGTGTATTCGCTTGCCAACCATTGACGGTTTTCTATCATCATTCGCAACCGAAACGCCGATCGGCCCAGCTCCTTATCGCCTTCCGAGTCATTGTCTTGTATGTTGTCGTATGTGGTATGGACTCTAGTCGCCCAGTCAGATATAAGAAAAGACACTGCGCTGGACAGGTGGGGATCCTCGGAGCTTCTTTCTTGCAGATACTCGAGAACCCCTCGATACGGTCCGGCCCAAGCAATAATGTTCTCCATTGGGCATCTCTGCTCGAGGCAGTGAGTCGCCAGATCAGATAGGTACTGTGAGTATTCGCCAGCATCACTGCTTATAAATGCGCCTGCAGACTTCTTCACATGGGACCGGAGGCGCGATATGGCAGCACTCATGGTTCCTAGCAGCTCCAAAGCCATATTTTTGGCTGGCGCTGCTGTTTTAGGTGCCTCGAACAGCTGCACCATCATAACCATGAGCAAGCGCAGGAGGAGCTCTGCGGAAGGCCAGTCTGGCAAATCAAGGCATGTCGTGAAGTCGTCAACGAAAAGATCGAGGAGGTTGCGATAGGGTGTATCTCCAGATTTGGTTGAGCCCATGGCTCGCTTGACGATAAAGTTGATGACATAAGACGCATTCCGAGCTGCAGTATCAATCAATGGGGCGGCAACGCCTTCTAATTCTTGTATTGCCACTGCAGGTTGTTGAGCGCCTTGTTCCTCGTTCAGGATGGTGGCAGTAGCTTGGTTCCGCTTCAACGGTCTATCGTCCTCGTCATCCTCTCCCAGTCCATCTATATCCATGGCTCGGATGTTTGAGCCTTGTCCAGCACCATTGCCACCTCCAACTCGACCAGAGCTGGCTTGAACGAGGCGCATGATAAGGGCCGAAACAGGCTGGATACTGCCGCCATCGGCTAGCTTGAACTGTCTGGAACTCAGTTTGCCCACAGGAAGCTTCTCCAACGAAGTCAGTATGTCATCAATGATGCCTTGTCTCTGTTCCGGTTTAATCAAAAAGATTTGGCAGAGCATATCCATAGCAACTGAGCGAATTCCATCAAATTTCTGCAGGCCAATGGCGGAATCTTTCTCCAAGTAGGCGTTCTCCACGAAAATCAGCTTGGATGAAGTGAATTCGAGTGTGTTAATGACTGTCTCTGACAATTCAATCTTGGTGATTAGCTCTGCAAGAAGAGCCGATAGTTTCTGACAGCAGACAAAGACGGAGGCAATTGTCTTCTTGTGCTTTTGGATAAGCTTGAACAAGCCACCCGAACTGCCAGAATTGCGAAGTTCGACAAGAGGCATAACAATATCCTCGGTTACAGCCTTGTATATGTTGACGCATTTGGTAATAACCGCTTCTGAGTATAGCTGCTTGTCTTCTCTGCATCCAGACATTATTCGGAGGCAAGTTCGTGCGGATTTAAGAGCCGTTTGCAGTTCTCCGAGTTGCTGAACCCATGATTCAACAGCCGCTTCATCCCAGCTTTCATCAACACGGATGTCGAGACCTTCAGCTTGTTTCAAGCTAGCTTCGCTCAGCTTCATGACTCTAAGGAGATTCTCAAGAGGAACAGCATTGAAGCTCCTCAAGCCAATGACCTTTTGAATAGCGGTGTGCATTTTCTGTTGCGTTGTGGCCGTCATTGAGGCTTCTTGATCTGCCGTCAGCGTAACAATGTGTTCCAACCCCGGTTCCATAACCAAGGCGCCGCCAACTGCTGAGAAAACCTGACGCATGAGGGCGTCAAGGGAGTCAAGTGCAGCCTCCCCTCGCTGTCGTTGATCGAGACTAGCCCCAATAATGTCCTGACCGTCCTCAAATTGCTGCCTCTCTTTTCGCCTAAACGAGAGATTCTCGGGTGCATCTGGAGCAACCTTGAACTCTTGATAATCCTCTCTCTTGATTCCAGACGTTGGTAATTCAATGCGAAGACCGGCGTTATTAACAACGATAGAAGCCTTTGCGGTTAATGGATTTGACTGGCTGTATTGCTGCGCTTCCACAATTAACTGATCATGCGGGGTGATTATATTCTGATCGGAATGATCATATGAAATTTCAGCATATTGCGAGCGATCGAATGACTGTTTCGTGGAAATCGCAATCTCTATCTTAGTTTTACCACTGCCTGCGTTATTCTTCGCCGTGCTTTGCGGTTGCACATGAATAGTTGGACTTTGAGATACTGAGTCGGCAGCCAATTTCAAAGGCTGTTCTGCTTCTCCGTTCACCAGCTTAGGGCTGCTGATATTTGGCTTCGTGGCCTTGAAGAAGCTGCCCACTCGTTCGTATACGGCCTTGGCTATCGGTGACAGACCTTGAGAAATGCTTCTATTGTGAGTCGATGCCGCCGAACTTGACGGCGCTCCGTTGGGCACAGTGGGAAATTTACTAGCATCGGTTAGCATAGCATACATACGATGAGCATGAAAATCATTTCCACTGACTACTGGGTTCTCTTTGAAGGTTTCAGATCATGCAAAACATGATCGACTGTCTGCTTCAGGTTCTTTGCACCGTGTGGCTGGCTCGTAGCTTCCTGGTTTACTCTATCATAATCTTGCGTTGAGAACAAATCCGAGATTCGAAGCGATGGTGATCCAGATCCGACGCTTGGGTCCGGGATGATATCTAGCTGTTGTGTCAGTATTTCAAGGGCCTCATACAATCCACCAATGGCGTCGTTACAAATCCGAGGTTCTTACCAGGTAGAAAAGGTACTGTGGATGTCTGCGGAGAATAAGGCAACGACTCCTGCAGCGTGAACGGTCGCGATACGCCGTTCTGTTCTCCAGGGCCCTCGACAGATTTGACCCCATTCTTCGGGCCGTTGGTGTCGTAATGGGCCATGTTTTCCATATTGTAGGTCGTCACAATAGGGTCGCTCTTCAGGCATGGCCGAGGGAAGGAGCTGTCCGGTTTCGTCGCATCGAGGCAGGAGCGAGGCTGCGAGACAATAAGAGCTAGTCAATTCCGGCGCTGGCAACTAAGATGAGCGACACAGCCAAAAGAACAATAGATAAGTAAAACTATTCTCTAATAAATACGAGTATAAGCGCAAATGGGGACAGCAATGCGATGCCAAGCCAACAGTGAGCGGAAGTTGAAGATGAGACTTCAGCTTCGTCCTTAACACTTGGACAATTGCGACAGGCTCGGACACGACTTGGAGGCTCAGGTAACCAGTGACCTCGTCTTGCATGGGTCCTGCTGTGGACCCACGACATGCCACATCCAACCAATGATGTGTTTTTCCTTGCACGACGTGTGTCGTCCCTTGCCTTATCGTTTATCCGATAAGCAAAAAATAGGGCTTATCGAAATAATAGCTGGTAGGCTTTTCCAATACAAGGACAGACAGAGAGACTTTGCGCCGAAATTTCTCTTTGTCTATTCGAGTGTTCAATCAGCAGCTGCAGACAACCAACAGCATTCTTTAATACAAGATTCAATGGCTGCCATAGGCTCCCTCGTTTTCTGTACTGACTGCGGAAATCTTCTTCCGGCTACCCAAGGCTCGGAGAAGAACTCGCTGCAGTGCGAATGCTGCGATGCTTGGAACAAAGGTTTGCGACGACCACACTCATCCCAAACTCGATATGTACAAGCACTGACCCATTGGTTTGCGCGTAGACACTGGCTCAAAAGTCATCGTCACGCAGTCCAAGCCGTCAGACTTTCCGTCTTTCCTGCGGCAAAAATTGCAGTCCAACGTCCAAGCTGTAGAGAGGCACAAGCTTAAAACCTCGAGCACAGTGCAAGAACGGTGCCCCAAGTGCGGACGGGAAGAAGTCACATATACCAATGTGCAGCTCCGTAGTGCTGATGAAGGCTCAACACTCATTTACAACTGTGAATGCGGTCACTCGTTCGTGCCATCCTCCCTGCCACCGCTGATGCATCAATACTTCCTACTAACTTCCATTTTACCAGGTGGCACGAGAACAATTAGAATATTTTTGGTATTGCTTTCTTTCGGCGGGCTATTCTATTTTATATAAAGCATTTACTTTTCTTATGCAGAAGCACTTGCTGCTTCCGGTATTAGAGCATATTCAGCGTTACCACTTTGCTCATACTCTGCCATATCCAATGCAACGATCACGCTTTCTCGGACGACCTTCTCTTTATCGTGAAGGAATCGCTTCAGTGTCTCCTCGACGCCCTCTTCCTCCCCGAGACTTCCAAGCGCCTCGGCAGCTTCATGACGAACCATACTAGCCTCTTCGGAGTTGCTCAAAGCAGCCGTAAGAGCAGGAATAGAAGCGGGATGCGACAACTGTCCAAAAACGAAAGCAATTTCGTGGCGGAACAACGCAGAAGAGTCGGCAAATCCTTTTGCCAAGGCAAGCACAGCGGGGACGGCGGTCGCGCAGTCGGGCGGTGAGGCCAGGTCGCGCAGGGCAAACATGGCGCGGTAGCGCATAAAGAGAGGCTGTGTAGTATCCATAAGCTGCTTGCCCAGCTGTTCGACATTCTTTTCCGATTCGGGCAGGGGCGGCGCGGGATCAATCGAGGCAAAATCACTAAAATTCTTGATTAGAAACGTGAAAAATAACCATCATGGACATGGTCAGGCACTAGTGACCAACCTCTGTCGTAATTTTTCTTGCTTGCGCGTCTCTGAATTCTCCCACTCTATCCGATCGATGGCGATCTCGCAAGTCTCAGTGATGACAACGTCTTCGCCCTCGCGATCGCGGAAGTATTTCAGCAGCTCCAAATTATCGGGTTTACCAAGCGCGCCCAGAGCCTCAGCGGCTTCATGTCTGCACATGGGGTCCTCCTTCACATCTGAGAGCACATCTCGCAACGGCTGAATCGCCGCATCGTTGGCGGTCTGTCCGAGGCAATAAGCCAGCTCGTGCTTCAGTAGGGCCGACGGCGACGCAAACGCCGCTGCGATGGCCTCGATGGCGGCCACAGCAGCGGCAGGCTCTCCGGTTCGCGCAACGTGCTTGAGCGAGAAGAGGGCTCGAAACCGGACTGGCAGCGGGGTGGCTTCAGAGCAGAGGCTCTCCCGTAAGCTCTGAACGGTAGTGTCTGCCATGTTAAAAAAGGAAACTTGTCGATTTCACCGTCGGCAGGGGGAAAGCTGAAATACTGGCAATGCGAAATTTGAGGGCGGTTTAGCGACGATTGCCCCTCCAAGTCATGCGGCGGCCCTCGTCGTAACTCCGTAGCCAAGAAAGAAAAATTTAGGTGGGGTGATACGCGATAAGAATGCATCCCGCCGCGAGTCGGGGCATCACGCTATGAAATGCTTTATGTAAAAGATTAAGATGCAGCCCTTCATCCAACCATGGGAAGTGGATAACCACTTCAATAGGTTCCATGGTCTAACGGTTATGACTGCGGATTCTGATTCCGCCAGCGAGGGTTCGACTCCCCCTGGAACCTGGTCACTCAGATCTTTTTTTTTTAATATTAATTGCAGTTAATAATGATGTTTTGCTGCAAATCGGCAGACTCGATTATTCGCGCCTTTTTTTTTTCGAGCCGGGTATATGTGTTCCGTTACCAAGTCCGAACAGCTGGGAGACAATGCTTCGGTTTTGTCTTTCTTCTTTCTGTGGTAGCAGCTGTAACAGACAGGCCAGAAGCTACCCTAGACAATATCAAGATCGCACCCCGTCGCAAGGTTCGTACGCGGTTGTATTGTACCGTGGTCCGGCAAACATGTGTGTTTAATGCAGTGAGTTGTCTACCGTGATGGGCTAATTATTTGGGTAATTCTCTTCCCGAAAGGGAGCAGGTCGTACTAGTCGTGGTGACTCCGAATCGGACCACCCACATTATTAAGCCTCAACCCACGAGACAAAGCCACGCTCCTTCTGTCAGACTCCCCCCGTTACAACCACAACATCACTGCAGCCTCTTCAACCGCCAAGAACAAACGTTGTGATGGCACCGTCCCTCGAGGAGCCAGAGCCAGTATCCGACGTCCTCGCCAACCCCGTCAAACAAAAGCCACAACTCGTCGCCCCGGAGCCGGAGCACTGTCCCGGACCGGAGTCGCAGCAGGCAGGCCAAGCCGACTCTTGCGCCGGCTGTCCCAACCAGGCCATCTGCGCATCAGCACCAAAGGGCCCAGACCCAGACATCCCCCTCATATCGGCACGCCTCGAAAATGTCAAGCACAAGATCCTCGTGCTCAGCGGCAAGGGCGGGGTGGGCAAGAGCACATTCACGTCGCTGCTCGCGCATGCCTTTGCGACCAACCCGGACAGCAACGTGGGCATCATGGACACGGACATTTGCGGGCCCAGCATCCCCAAGATGATGGGGGTGGAGGACGAGACGATTCACGTCAGCGGCTCCGGCTGGTCGCCGGTGTGGGTGATGGATAATTTGGGCGTGATGAGCATCCAGTTCATGTTGCCGAATCGAGATGATGCCGTCATCTGGAGGGGCCCCAAGAAGAATGGCCTGATTAAGCAGTTTCTCAAGGACGTGGAATGGGGCGAGCTGGACTTCTTGCTGGTCGATACGCCGCCGGGCACGAGCGACGAGCACCTGAGCGTCAACTCCTTCTTGAAGGAGAGCGGGATTGATGGCGCGGTCGTGGTGACGACCCCGCAGGAGGTCTCGCTGCTGGATGTACGGAAGGAGATTGACTTTTGCCGCAAGGCGGGCATCAGGATACTGGGACTGGCGGAGAATATGAGCGGGTTCGTGTGTCCCAACTGCAAGGGCGAGAGTCAAATATTCAGACCTACCACGGGTGGCGGGAAAGGGTTGGCGGAGGAGATGGGGATTCCGTTCCTCGGCACTGTGCCTTTGGACCCGAGGATCCGGATGGCCTGCGATTACGGAGAGAGTTATTTTGATTCATTCCCGGACAGCCCGGCCTGTTTGGCGTTTAAAGAGGTGGTGAAGAGGGTGGCAAGCCAACTGGGCCTGGATACAACCAACGTATTACCTGACGAATAGAACCATGACATAGATTGACGACGTATGCAAATAATACTCCCTGAAATGATATTACAAAACCCTATTATTGCCTTTTCTCTTCTTCTTTTAATACCGATTCACGTGATGAAAGCACTTCTGATGATATGGATTTGGATTGCTTTTGCTAGGCTATTTGTTAGCCAGCTTTTCGGGAACCTCTTCAAGATCCTCCGCGGACTCGATATCAATGACGCTGCCCGCCTCGCTCGTGCTTCGCATCAACTCTTTTGCGCCGGCGTACAACATTCTCACCTCGGCGTTGCAGGTTATTGGAAGATAGTATAGCAACACGTAGGGTACTGAGAGTCGTCCATCGGACTTTGAGGTTTATTAGTTATTAGTCCGAGCCCTACCCTCATGGTGAAACACGCCGGGATGAAGAAGCGTACCGTTGTAATGGGATAGCTGAGCAGAACAAACCGCGGCGTGTGATCTGGCAAGTCCTCAGCAACCTCCTTGAGAGACTTGTAGACTCGCGCTTCGTCGTAGTCGTCGAGGGCTTGTCGGATCTCGTGTGTGTTCTTATCAATCATATCTACCGACGCCATGTCAGCCGGTCGAGGGCAAATCCCAGGATGCTCGGCTCAAACGGGCGATGCGTACAGATAACAGCCTGGGGATCCTTGGCTCTCGATGTGGTCAGTCGGAACTTGCGCAGGTGTTCCTTGGTTTCACCGGAAAAGGTGTAGAGTCTCGATTCGGAGGCCTTTGAAGCGGGGTGAATTGCATCAGCAGGCCTTGATCTCGAGGCAACGGAGCAACAGAGGAGCAAAGCGTAAAGTGCGCCATACCATGATAAAATGCTGGCTGCAAGTGAATGCCAGAGGAGCTCGATGCCACCAAGCGGTCTGGTTCGAGAAAAGGTGCAGCAGATGTTTCCTCTGCCCCGCGGAGCAATGTCGCAACGACTACAGCCTCCAACGACAAGCTGGAGATGACGAAAGAGCTTTAGCCCCGCCAAACCAGTGAGCTGACCGGAGCTTTGCGATCAATGATGCTCGTGCACGGCAAAGTCGACGCCCCACATGTCATGTCCCGGCTGTCCACGCTCAGTGCTCAGTGCTCAGTGCTGCCTTCGGAGCAGCAACTCAACCAAGTTGCAGTCCACATGCGCGCATACTCCGCCTCTGCTTCAGCCACCGACACCAGACAGCTCAAGTTGCATCTCGCCGCGGCATCCGCTGGCGTCGGGTCACAAGCAAAATACTAGAACCAGTCGAGGCCAATTGCTGGGACCGGTCAACTGGGGTCAACTGGTCCGAAAACCCCAGGGCTGCAGGTGCTGGCCGTCTCAGAGACCAAAAAACGGGACAAGCACGTCAATAACTGAATGGCTACTTTCAACAGCCCAATCATCCCGTTTCCAGCATCATTGCAAACAAGGCGCCCTTCAGAACCTCCATGTTGTCGCGAGTATCTCAGCTAGCGAGACATTTGGCAGCCCCATCGCCGTCACTTGTTCAGGTAAGTCGGCGTCCGTCGGCGGCGGCGCTTTCGAGAATGGCCACGACGTCTCAGGACAAGAGCACGCGCACCATTCACAGTGCTGCGTGTTTGATTATTGGAGACGAAGTTTTGGGCGGAAAGGTATGACGTGACCTTGCTGCACTTGAATGCCCACCATGGCGAGTCTTTTGATGCTGACGCTGGCAGACTGTTGATGTACGTCATTTACATATATATGTGGTCTGAGGCGGGCGGCCTTCGGTGCTACCAGTGAACCGCATCGACAATCCCCTACAGTGGTGACTGACCTGAGCAGACCAATTCGGCCTATCTGGCCAAGTGGTGCTTCTCGCTTGGAATTGTGAGGTTTTTCACTTTGTTGTCTTGGTAGACGGACCTCTTGGGGCTAATTGGGGACCAGAGCTTGAAACGCGTGGAAGTCATTGAAGACGATGAGAGCGAAATCATGGAAGCGGTCCGCCGCATGAGTGATCGCTATGATTTTGTCGTCACCAGGTCAGTCTTTTCTTCGCCCTAGTCAGAACCGATAGTGACTGGTAGCTTGGCTTAGCGGCGGTATTGGACCAACGTAAGTGACCCGACACCTTTACGCCTACGAGTCATCGTGGGTGTGCGACTGACGTTTATACCCTCTAGACACGATGACATCACATACCAATCCATTGCCAAGGCGTTTGACTTGCCATTGAAGCTGCATGACGAAGCGTTTCAGAAAATGAAAGTGCTTTCCAGACCCGATACACTCACCCCGAATTTTGATTGGGAAACCGACTCTCCAGCGCTGCAGGCCAAATTACGAATGGTCAGGCTGCCGACAGACGAGAGCCGAGACTTGAAGAGCCAGTTCCTCTTTGTGTCGGACAACCTGTGGGTTCCTATTTCGGTTGTGAATGGGAACATCCATATATTGCCTGGTGTTCCCTCCCTGTGTGAGTTCCAACTCAATACCTGCCAAACTTGAGTTTCTCTAACGCCATTGTATAGTTCAGGCGTTGCTCGACGGAATGAAACCATTTATACTCCCCAGACTGGTAGATCCTGAAGGCAAGGGAACCTGCCGAATCTTGATTTCTACGCCAATGCCGGAAAGCGCCGTGGCGGCCTATCTTACAGAACTGGCGGCCAGGGTTGAAGCCAAAGGTGTCAAAGTTGGAAGCTATCCTAGGTGGGGCAAGAAGCGCAACACCGTCACGCTTGTCGGCAGGTAAGCAGTCACTTGTTCAATCGTTGCACTCTGGGCGTGGAATGAGGGATCGGGCTGGCACCCCGCCGTCGGCTTGCCCACTATGTGCTCCTTGCGGCCGGGCTCGCAAGATGGAAGTTTGCTCGTCGAAGTGGCCTTGCTAATTCATTTGCCAAATAGGGATCAAGCATTCCTCGAAAGTTTAGTTGCCGAGGTTGAGGAGAATGTGCAGGGGCGTCGTGTTAGTCAAGAGGATGAAGCAGATGATCTTTAAGAGTTGCAGAAGCGGCTGTTACTCTTGAACACTACATCTAGACGGGGCACGAATATAACAATATATGGCTCTTTAGAGGCGTTAAAATCAAGTCATTTTACATAACATGACAGGTAGCACATGACACCGTCGTATAGTCGCAGCGTCTGTCAGCTCTTGGTACCGCAAGAAACTGTTTCCAGTAAGCCAATATAAGCTTAAATGGCGGTTTTCGCCGTCTAGACACGAGTCATATTCCTAGCTTGAAACCCAGATGATCTTTTCCCTTTAGTATTTGCGGAGATGATTATTAGGAAGACCGATCGCCGTGTGAGGGATGTCTTTGTGGTATCCGCACCGCGGACTTTGATTATAGTTTCTAAGGCAATACCCAGAAGAGATGGCCTTGGATATGGAGCATTTCGTGCCATATTGCGGGTGCTATGGCCGAAGGAAGAAACTAGCTGCGATGGCATCAGCCCTTAAACTTAATTGTTCTTCCTTGGCTTTGGCTCTGTTCCAACCACAGAGCTTCATACTTGTTCCGACTTCCGAAGTTTTGGGACTATGCTTGTTTGTGTGACGTCGCCAAAGAATACAACATACTCAAAGCTCCGAAGATTTTGCCGATCTTCACCGATTCGGGACTTAGGCTTGGCCAATCGCTTGCAGCCACCAGCCAGCCCCCCGCCCCCCTTTTCCGCAGAGCGGTTCCAAGAACAACGTCGGTAGATGGCTTCGTGATCCCCGGGAAAACCAGCGACATATGTACATACATACGTAAAGAGCCGCAGTGGGGGCTCTGATAGACTATGTATGGACATAGCCATGAGGCTACTCCGTATAGACCAATGTGTTGCTAACCGGTGATGTAATACCTAGGCAGTTTAACAACATGCTTGATTGGTGCTGCATGAGGGAACATTCAACTTGGGTCACCGCAGCATGTCACCGCAGCATGTGCTGTATGTACCCTTGACACGGGCATGTTCACCACGTGCGACGTTTAGAGACAGAAATTCTGGCTGTTGGAAAACCCGACAAGCCAGCGACGTAATAACCATTCAGCTGGGTAAGATCGAAACCAGCTTACGGAGTAATGAAATGTCCTTTCCAATGGTGATTTATAAGGCAAGTCCTGATATCTCATCCGCGTCCGACCCAGGCGGCATTACTCCGTAGATGTCGTACAAAGATCCACCGCTTGGGCTGGGTTTCTATGTGCAGGCCAATGGTGGTGTTTGTGCTACTCTAATATCGGCAGTAAGTTGGTTATCGTTTTTTGTACGGAGTATTCCATACAAAGTGCTCCGTACGGAGTACACCATAAATTATAAAGAAATAGACGGAAATACGGAGTACATACGTACACAGCAGGGATGATCTTAACTGGGAGCCTGGGCAAATTTGATGCCCACAATACTATGGATTCCAGTAGTAGTACTCCATAGTATTCCTCCGTCGATGCGGATGGAGCGAACCTTGGCGTTTATTCCTTGTTTTCCCTGAGGGTCCGAGGGTGTCATGCCATGTTCGATGGGAGTGGATACGGTAGTGGGCTGGCCAGGGTAAGCTCAAATGTGAAGTGTGGAGAGCGTCATTCTAGAAGCTCCAAGGCTTGGGTTAGCTCGATGGGTCGGTCCTGTACTTTCCGTCTGGCGATTATGGGCTTTCATGTTGAATTGTGCTGTCCTGCAAGAGACTAAAAAAGCTGTTTATTGGCATGTTTGTTGGCCCAAAATTTTTTCCCATTTGCACCAGTGGCCACTCGGCTGACGGACACGGTTCTTTTGGTGGAGAAATCGAGCAATCATCGAGACATTTGATGTATTCCCTCAGCCCCGGCCCGATTCAGCAAGCCACGACTTGATTTGCAGTTGTTGCAAGGTCGAGTTAGTGCGTGATCATGAGACGTCACCACTCATCGCGGCCAAAAGGTGATGAAGCGGCTGAATGACCTGATGAAGTGTCAATGCCCAGAAGGTGTTGCGATACCAATCCCATGGGCCTTGATGCGTTTCCGCACTGATTTTCCCGCGAGGTACGGAGTACCATCCGCAGAGGCAATAGCTGAGCCCTTCCTGGACCTGCAGTACGCTAATTGAATCAACGATGTTGTAAATTCGGCCAAGACCTCACGATCGAGCACTCGCTGTGTGCGTAGTGTGTGACTCTGCCGCTGTGTAATTTATCACACTTGCTGACTGGGTTCTGGCTGCAACGGCACCTAACACGGGATGGAAACCGTCACCCTCCCCCATTGAAACTCCTAACGATATTCGAATTTGAAGCGGCCCTATGTCATATATCCCAACCAAACACTCCGAAATCATGTTTGCTTTTCGGTTCTAGATTGTCTTCCTTTGCGCCATCGGCTATCATCTGTCCGCACCACTTGGGCAGACCTGCAGACACGAGAGTACAGGCGAGAAATTAAGTAGGCATGAGTGTGACAAGATGTCCATCTGACAAGCTGGGTGAAGAAAGTCATCCGTAATCAGCCAGGCCGAGAATGTACTGTATTGTAGTCCGTACAAAGTTGATGATCGGTGCCTGACATGCGGCCGGCCAGACGATGTCAGGGGTACTGCTAACACGGAAACGCAGGCCAGAACTCTAGATGGGTATGCATTCGATACGCGCTC